TTTTATGAATTTAATGTTATATTTAAAAATAGCTCTTCAGCAGAATTTAGCGAATTCGATTAATACATTCAACAGACCCCACACGCGGACCATCCACTCTTTTTCATTCTATCATGCAGTTCCCACGACTTCATATTTCAGTTTCATACTATGAGAAACATGTCCCCTTCCCAAATTCGAGATATCACCATTCACCGCACACCTGGCGAAAATCAAGTGCGACAGCGCGCTACCGACAAACCGCACGGCCTTATCAACGTATCCCGCATGATGCGCGCGATAATACCGCGTCTGGCAATACACGCGGCGGCGGCCCGCAGGGGAACCGCCAATTCCGACGGCCGGCGCTCCTTTTTATCGATCCCGAAATAGACTGTCAAGAGCGCTCATCTTGACGTGCAGCGTCCCCCACACCCGCCGCGAGGAAATGGGCGCACTTAATCACGCCGTCTGGACACAGTGGAGCGAAGGGGGGGAGCACTGGGATGATTGGGAGTGCCGCTGTTAAAAATACAAGAAGAATGGAAAAGACAGCCGGTCCGGAAAGCGTGAGATTAAAAGAATGAAGGAAATTATAAAGCACTGAATGTAAGATATGTGAGAAATCTGATAGCAAATCTTACAAATGTGTTTATGTTTGCAATCAGTATAAAGTATTAATTACAAATCAGTACGAAGTATCATTGAACGTTATGACATGAAAAAAAGGCGTCTCGGGAACTGTGTCGAACTTGCCCAAAAAATAGTAGGTTGTTAAATCTGTTTGGATTATGAAGAGGGACAAAGAAAAAAAAAATTCATCAAGCACATATTCAAAATCACATTACACTGAATTTTTAATGATGTATTTTCACACACACACACACACACACACAATGGTGGAAAGAGTATGCCTTGGGGTACAAGAACGTTTTAGTTTCTATACCTAGACATACCAGGTACAGAAATATCGACGACATTAAATACTAAATAGATTTTATGAAGCGGCCATTGGGCTTGTGATGGAAATCCAGTTAAATTTACCACGGCACGACATCCGGAAAATTAACCCGTGTTTATACGTTTCAGAATCTCTAGAGCATCAAGCGCATAGTATTAAATTTTCAACAGATTCAAAATGCGAAATGTCCTGTAAACATAGACGAAAATGCCTGAACCGTATGTAGCAAATTTCGTCGGGGAAAAACCCTAAATTTTACGTGCTTTTATCTCCAGCCAAAAGTGAATCGCAGGCCGTTTATTTACCCTGGCCTCCGCATTAGTGCTATAGGGTGAGTAGTGTTAAGCCGCATTGGGCAAACACCGGGCCGGCAATTCGGAGTGAACGAGGTCAAAGGTAAACGAGACGCGGGACTACGCGGGGCGGGGCGGGGTAGAGCGGGCAGGCAACGGCACACTGCCGCCCGTATATTGACACGTAGCCCGGGGATGGGCGAATGAACAGCAACCAGATCGACATTCCTGATGCGATTAAGTCTAATGAGAACGGAGGGCTCGCTCGTGCAATGTGTGCAGACATTTGCATACGGGCGGACCTACGACGGCGGGACGCCCCGCGTGCCGCCTAACCCCTTCGAACGGCCTAGGCTAGGCGAACGGTGGCGCAGTGCACAGCCGCAACAGGAACTGCCCAGGCCAACGGTCGCTGCCAACGCAGGCCAACACGGGGGTTAGATCATTAGAATGAGCATAAAAATTGCTGCTCGCGCAAAGCAAGTTGATTCTTTGCAGAATACTAAATTATATGTTTCGATTCTGATGTTTCTGGACGGTTCTACGATGGAGGCGGACTTTAGCAGAGTATCTTCATCCGAAAGTACTTCCAATGTAATTATCAACTAGGACTCATTGGACGGTCTGGATTCGTCACAGAACACTTTTACAATTCTGAAAATTGCCGGCTATTTCTTTCGTGCTACATCTGATCTGCCATACTACCAAATCATCTACGTTAGGCATTCTCCGTAAAATTACAAAATGTCCGCGTTTTCAAGATGGTGTGGTGGGCATTGAAATGGAAACAGTAACATGTTTCACACAACAGAAAGCAAAGGTGTAAACACTGGTTTGCTGGTATTTCACAAGAGTTTAGAAAGTAGAATATTAATTATTCTATTTAATAAAACATTTTTTCTATTGGTGCTTCCATATTATGGTAATTAACTGATGCTGGCTGCTGCGAAGGCAGTAATTATATGTATTTCGTAACTTATAAGATTATTTGGTCTTTCTGTTTTCTGACAATTTCATTCTCTATCAATTTTTCACAGGAAATCTTAATTCTCTAAGAACGAACGTGTTGCAACTTGTGTATAAGAAACGCACAAGGATGATTGCCATGTGATGCATCTCAGGGACTGTAACTTGAAAACGTAAGCAAGAATTTCACCTGGTGTGATATTCCACCTTCGAAAGAACATCAAAATCCTTCGCTCTTTTAAGAAACATTACATAAATTGCTCTTCACAAAACTCGTAGAATCGTTGAAAAATACATAAATCCCTCCTCCCATAAAAAACAACTGAAAGCAACTTTCTTTAGGAAGTAAATTGATCAATATTCTACTGAACATAACTCATCAAGCCTATATAAGGCAATTGTCTCTACAGATAATATCATTCAATGCATATTGATCCGCATATTGCAATTTAGGCTAGTGCAGAAAGACAGGTGTGAATATAGTTTAAGCTGATCGAGACTATAATCAAAATCGATATAAAAGATCGAAACACCATATGAAGGCTCAACACGATATTAAATGAACATTTGAACCTTAATTTGAATTTGTAAGAAAAAACTAAATCATGAAGTTGCATTCATGGCTTTACTGCTGCTTACCGGATTTAACACATTAGTGATATTAAGTACCTCATGAAATCAGTTCATCATTATTAATGATTTAATTATTTCAATAATTTAGAAGAGTATAACTAATATGATTAATCACGTTCATGGCAAGACATGGACGTGGCTTATTTGGGTTCGTATGTCAGTAAACAGGCTACCACCTAGAAAGTCGCTAGGTACCAATTAAAGTCCTTTGCTCAGGGAAATGAAACTACTGTAAATTTTGAAATTTCCGGTAGCTGTACTATCTTTCTTGTTTATTTATTGTGACATTTCAATATTTTTATTTTATGTTCCTTTTGAGAAATTCTATTTTTAATTTTTAAGAAAAACCCGACAAGCAACATGAATGATTTCGATGTAACGTCGTTTGAACCTAATTGCCGTAAGTGCTCTTTGATGTATCTGCATTTATGATGTTAACTTGCATATATTGATATTTAAAAGAAAATATCAATAACGTTAACACATATGCACTGTAATGCTTTATGTTTGCCAAACAGTCTCAACTAGTTACTAGGATTCCTGAATAGGGCATATAGTGAAGAAAAAAATCACAACTATTCACGGCAAGTCAAGCATCTAACATAGGCACTACAGGCAGTTCAGCCGTACGAATATTTCAAAACACAACATCGGGTTCTCTATGTTTTGTTACGTTTTTCAATTCTTCTCTCAGTTCGTGTCACAGGAAAATTCTAGAGTCGATTATGGCAATATAAGCAACTCCCCCTGCAATACCGGAGATAACCGGGGATTCCTATGAGCGATAAATGAGGCTGGCGCACTCACGTGCTCCGTCACGTGAACACGCACCGTGCGATACTATCAACACAGGCCCTCTCCCTTCTGTAATTTCATTTCAGTCGCGCAGGAATTCCTCGAAAAGTGTCGCCAAACGACTCGTCTAATTGAGCCGAGGCGAGTGCAATAATAACCTCCAGGCAAGAAGCCGCCCCAAGCATCCTTTTATCTATCAATTACCGGGGTCTGGCGGGCATCGAGACTAAGCAATGGCTTCACGGCAATTACCCCGGCGAAAGATGGCGTGCACACGCCGGGGTGCTGGGCGTCGCGCCGAGCACAGCCGAGCCGAGCGGGGGTGGCGGAGTGACACACTACTTCCCTTGGTCGCAGCGTCGCTCATAAAGAACAGCGGGGTGTGACTGTGCGGACGTGGCACTCCGCTGCGGCAACCCTGCATCGGGCACGAGGGTCTTCGATGGCCAACGTACACGCTCTTCAAGACATCGATGAAAAGGCAAAACAGGAACAGAAATGCCTGGTCCTAACCGAATAAATGGCGCATAAAATAGATTCAAAGGCGGATATAGAGGAAATTTTATTTCTCTCCTAATTAAACGTTGCACGGAAACAAACTTCCAGTTCGATGGAATTTTTTCGCATGTTCCCGATGCCATTTTAGAAAGAAAATAATTGCCGGTCCAGACAATCTACGAGATCTTACTCATTAGACTAAAGGTAAGTAAATGTTCATAGAACTCAAATTACCCCAAACGCGAGAAAAAAATATTCTGCGACATTAGTACACTAGATAACCCTCATCACAATTTTTATTAAATTAACGTATACTTTAATAATTCTCATGAACTAACTCATTGGGTGCATCTAGGAACAGAACTTTTATATGTAACGTCCCGAGATGCAGTAATATCAAGAGGAGGAGCCAAGTCCGTGGATGTGCGGGCCGCGGGCACCCACCCTATCCCGTGCGCTGCGCGGTGGGGCAGGGCCTGCTGGCCCACAAGGCGCTGATCGCCGACGCGGGGGCGTCGAAGCCCATGCGAAGCCGTTGCCGCCAACGGCCGGCCAGCCCGCGCCGCGCAAATAGCAGCGTCAACCCCATTATGCAAACCCTTGACCCGATTATGATAGAGGCTCCGCGGCGCGAACACCATTTCAAAACACGCCGCGGAAAAGAGGAGCAAGTGCGTGCGGACTAGTGAAACAGGACACAGACTTCGGGTCGCCGGGACGTCAGGCGGTCGCTTATGAGCAACGTTCGCACGACCCGGAGATAACCAGTCGGTTCTCACACGTTATAATGAACTCCACTTTGCGGTCGGGTGCGAATGACGCTACCAGGTACCACGCCGGCGATGAAATGAACAAAAAACAAATTTAACACTTACCCCGCATTTTTTGAGACTGCTGTGGACATGTGGTGCTCATCAACATAGGTACAATACAGCTCGTGGATGGAAGTTTTCTCAATCCTATCTTATATCACCAAGGATTTGTGTCGTTTGCACTACACTTCAGATATTGTTATCTTCTGCACACACAGAGAAACACACCACTTTGCTGCACAAAACAATCGTTTTCTTCTTGCCGTAATTTTTTGTAGTATTCCGAACGTATGAGAATTTTTGTACACACGGGTCAACACTTGAAGGTTGCAACAAGCACGTATGGAGGGTATTTACCACGTCACATGCGCACAGATTTCCAAACAAAAATCACTGACTTTACTCCCCTCCCCCCCCCCTAGATGCCCGCGCTGCGCTGCACACACGCCACGAGGCGCGCCCGCACGCGAAGCCTGCAACGCCCGCTGTCGGGGCGCCTGTCCCCCGTTCACCTCGGCCTCGCCTTCGCCCGCGGCGGCAGCCGCGCCAGCGAAAACATGCGCAAAAGACACGGCGGCGCGGGCGCGCTGCGAACACAATACCCCGGCGAAGGTTCGTTCACTCGCGCTGCCTCGCTCCTAGCTTCCCCACTCGCACGACGTTGTTCGATGCTGGTGATTCCCGTAGAGGTTCTCTAGCGACAACAGCAACATGGCGTCACGCCGTGAGAGGTTCAGCGTTCCTCGGCCGCGCCGGCCGACCCACCACGTCCTCCAGCAGCGGCGCCCCGCGACGGAGCAGCACCCAGCGCCTCCGCGCCGCTACAAAACATGTCCGGGCGCGCGCCCGCGGCGGCTCGGCCGGGGACGTGAAACGACTAGAAGACCCCGGCGAACCGCGCCGCCCAGCGCCGTCATCCTGCGCGAAAACGATGTAAACACTGGCTACACCACAGCACTAGGCGACCGCGAAATCCAACGCGACGAAACACCCCACCACCATTTTCCCAAGCGCTGCCTGCGTGACTGAACGCATCGGCAGGGACGACGGACCGCGGCTCAAACTCGCCGCCAGGCGGCAGCACGGTTGCGCGTGGGGCTCGGGAGTAGCGGCTGCGCGCGAGCGAGCTAGCGCGGCGCTGCGCTGGCGCGGCGGCCGTCGGCGAAGGCAGGCGCGTTAGGAAAGCAGGCAGGGGAGGCAGGCGAGCGCGAGCGCAGCCAGGCGGAGGAGGCTGCGGCCGCCGGCCAGGCAGGCAGCGGCGCTGGGGCCATGAAAACACAACCTGCCGCAACGGGCAGAGGGTGTGGTGGGGGCGTAATGGATACAAAAAACCTTCTCGCGTGGGTGCAACATTTCTCCGTACGCACACACAATATGTTTGCGGCGGCGGCGCGTCCAAGGTGGAGAGAGGAAAGAGCGCACCGGATGACGCCTGCGCCAGCGGCCGGCCGCGGCACGGCGTCACAGTAGTCGTCGGCGTCGCGCGCCGACGGGGAGGAGGGCGGCCGAGGGCGGGTGAATCACGGCCGCCTTTATTTAGCCGCAACTCATCTGCCTTTAAAACCGGAGCGCGCCAGAAACAAAACCGGGGGGGCGCGCGCGGCCGGCCGCAGCACACACAGCGCACACGGCAGCCGCGGCTCCGACCGCCGCCGGCCCGCCTCGAGCGGCCTCTCGCCCACCGACGGCCGCGCCCGCGCGATTGGCAGCCCTGCGCGCGCCGCCGCGTCCCGCCGATCGGGCGCCGCCCCGCGGGGCAGCGCGAGCGGGCAGCAGCACCAGCGCGCCCCGCTCGCTCGCTCGCCTCGTCGCCGCCCGCCGATAACCGCCGACACCACCTCCGCTGCCGCGCCCTTCAGCAACCCGCGGCGCGCGCGCGCCGACGCCCGAAAAAAAAGCCCCCCTCGCACTGCCATCCCTCCGCCGCGCCGCGCCGCGCCGCGTTGATAGCATTACGTAACAAACGAAAACTGCCGGCACTTGTTTTCTTTAAAGATGGCGACGCCGATGGAGCCGATTGTCGTGACAAAAAACAAACACTGGTTGAAGAGGGCATATTCAAGTAAGGTTGTGTTCCCCCCTCCGTTCCCCGGGGAGCTAAGAGATCTCTTCCGAGTGAAAAGAGGCAGCGGTCAGACAGAACGGCTACGCGATATACTTGCGCAGCGCTGCCAACCGGTACTCACTTTGACACTGCAGCCTGTTCTTTTCTAGTTGCTGTCACAAAGCGTACTCAGTATTTCACGGTGTGTCTCACGAGGAACATGCACATGGCTAATTGCGATGTAATTGTCATCAAAGTACATATTTCATCTCTCCACGTCCGCCTCGCAGCATTTAGCTCTCTGCGGAAGAATTATGTGGCACCTCAGCGCAATCTACTGAATATCATATCAACAGACGGTGGGAACGCCAACTGATACGGCATCGGCGATATGAACAGTCGAATCCAAACACGGCGTCTCAGGTGGACTGGACGAACGTGACTCACGCTGTATTATTAATGTTCTCTAGCATAAAATTATCCTGTCAATTACAGCAACCACATAGCATATCCTGTCATTGCAAGACCAGTAGATAAGCAAATTGACCAGCACAATGCCACATTTTACTTTGAGAGTAGTTATACATTCTTACATATCACATGCTGAAATCGTCTGTCATTAACATGAAATTCGTCCCTAAAAAACATACAAAATAGTTGTTAAGGATTTTCACAATATTACCTCCTTTATAATTGGTTTAGCAGTATTAATATGATTATCATCAGCTTTCTCGGATATTTGGTAACACATTACTCACTTACACAGCACAGAAAATAATCTTGAACAGGAATACGGAATCAAATAAATACAGGATAAAGAATGAAGAAATGAATAGGTGATTTGAAAAAGAGAAATATGTCAGTCTGTGATGTATATAACCGTAGTGTGCACCGATTCACTGAACTTATTTTCTTCATAAAATATAGGAAATATTTTTAAAAACGTTTCTTTTTTTACTTCCGAAACAATATAATCATATAACACTGATCTACAAAATTTAAATTTGTATCTGTTAAATGGAGTATAATGGCAGTTTCTTATGGAAAATTGGGCTCTGATTTCAAATTTGTGGATCATTTATTTGTAACGGCAAGGATTGTTTTGTAATAGGCAAATAAAAAGTACACACTGTTATTAAGTTTTCGGTTTTCTTTACTTAAATTACATATAATAATCTCAATCCAAATGTAATTTTGAACGATTGTTCAATTATTGCATTTTAGTATATCCGTTTCTTGTGCTCAACAATAGTCCGCTAGCATATTTTGATTCCATATTCCCTTATAAAATGTTTCCTTAGTCGCAATATATTGGTAGAATCACTCACCGTGTTTGTCACTCACAACATCCAGATTTCAGGAAATAAGTCTAGGTGTGAATGCAGAAAATATATTTTAAGAAACTTTTTACATTCCAGAGCTCTATAATTGTGAACGAGTTCCGACATTTTTTCTTCAGATGTTTCAGTTTTTCTGTTACCAAGGAATTTCGTTTTGTAGCGACATCCTTGCAACCTTTTGAACACTATTCAAACTTGTCTCAAGGTCATGATACCTCATAAGGTCCTTCATTTGTGAACCCACAAATTTACTCTTCTTTATTTGCACTCCAATAATCCTCCGGAATTTGTTCTTTAATGTTACTTGGTCAACTGTCATCCACCACCTTCACACATTTATCAAGAATCTGAGTTTGGTGAGCAAGGGAGCACGATATGCGTGTGCAGTATTACATGAGGTTGCAACAAGTTACATTTTTGTCCACCCAACATACAATTTATATGAATTTCTTCTTAAGGGAGTAATGTTCCGCTTTTGGCTAATCAAAATTTCCTCATCATACACATAACAGGAATTGTTTGGATGTTTTACTCACTACCGCGGTATTGCAAGAAATCTGTTCGTACAAAAATTAACACTCGAACGCAACGAATAGCTGAGTCGTGCACTACACAAAATTCAACTCCTTTCCCTCTCTCCATGCAGGGAGCAACCATCATGTAGAGACCCACGCACACAACGCGTCGCCTACGTGGGTCACTGCAGTTCCCTTCGCAATACCCGAAGTTGCCCAGCAGATTTGACCGGTCTGGCTTCCATTTCATGTCTTCAGAGGAATCTACAATATCATACATTGTTGGTGACCACCATCTTGTAATACACTTGCACGCAACCAGCGTTTCAGCACTAACACACGTGGCTATCTGCGAATATATATATATATATATATATATATATATATATATATATATATATATATATATATATATATGCAATTACAATAAAACAGAGCCCGCTGGGCAATTTGGTGGTTGTATTCTGCTTTAGCCAAACTAAGTACATAAGAATCAGCTAGAGCTTGCCATTTAACAAAATCACTGTTGACCAATATAATTAATACATAATTATGTGAATTAATATATTTGCTTTGTGGATATGATAAATACTCAAACTACTAAATTAATAACATCAGCATCTACTCATTGATTTCCACTTGAATCTGAGACTAAGTCAAAACGTTCCGGTGGAAATGAAGATATTCATTTGGATGTGCCTGCCCTTTTGCCAAAATGACTGAGAACTGGATAAACTAATCAATTGTTTATGTACTCACGTGCATCGAGGTAACCAAAATATTCGGTATCGTATGTTAGCTGCTTTACTTGGAAAACGTCACACCAGGCTCACAATGAGAACTGCCTGGACGAGAAAGAGTTGGTTGACTTCTTCAAATAGTTTGATCGCTAGGTTTTGAAGTCTAAGATCACCTTGGGGTCTATTATTGTTGTAAGGAAGCATTTAGGCGTTTCCTAGATGATAATATTACTTCTGGGTAAGGATCAGATAGTCCTGGAATTCTTTCTATTTTATAGTCATTGCAATTTGTAGTTAGCAACAGACTACATACTTTAAGCTGGACAAGTCTCTATTTTTCCACTGATCTATAGCTTGGAGAATAAAGAAGTAAATAAAATGTATATCTCACCTCTTTTTACGAGAAAAGTGGACTTATTTCGCATTTTAAAATCAACGATTCACACATTTGGTTAACTGTAAGGTTTATGATTTTGCATTGTTCATCATACAAGATTTCATTCGTTCATGACATGATTACATTTTTATTTACTTTGATTATATTTATATTATTGTTATATTTATATTACTTTGTTATATTTATATTATTATTATATTTATATTATTATTATATTTATATTATATTTATATTTTTATTACTTTGATTATATTATATTTATTTACATGATTAAATTTTTATTGTATTCTAATTTCTAAAATTAAATAATGAATGTTTCGCGAGATTAAAATATAAATATAACAATACGCAGATTGGTAGGGGAAAATTGTAATACATTGA